GTATTTTGTAATTTTTGAAATTTAACCACCGAGTATAAATAAGTAAACAACTGCAACAGATGTCATTATATGCGCAACATGATGCACAGATAGAGCTTTAAGCAAGAGTGTGCCCGTAAAAAATGCAGAGCTTTTAAAAAGCTATTCCCTCGGATATATCGAGGTCACGACTGACACAAAGTCTACAGAAAGCTTAAAGAAAATTCCTTGGCCCCACATAGACCAATAGACATAGGGACCTCCCAAGTGATGCCAGATGCTCTATCTCCATCTAAGTTAAGTACATTCGAAGCATGATAAAAACATAGCAAGGTAGAACCGTTCTCTCAATTTGTCGGCCATGATTTTTTTTTGAAGTTTGCCAACATTTTAAAATCATATAAAAGTGAAAATAAAAAATTGAAATTGTTCTAAATTGTTGTTTTGCTTGAGATTGAAAATGAAAATGTGTGTGTGAGTTTGTGAGTAAATTTAAAAATTAAATTGTTTGGAAATGTCAAGAATTTTAAAAGTGACTCTCAGCGGTTCTACCTTACTATATTTTTATCATGATTCGAAGTAGACATCATTTAGTATGTCAACGATTTTTGAGAACTTTAGTAGTGCTTTAAGCCCAACTATTGTCACGTCTAGTCTTTGCTTCAGTTATAACTGATATAAATTATACAGCGAGCTTTCGAAAGCTTGGCTCAATTACCTGTGAGATGTCCAACTGAGCTCTAAATGGAAGCGCCTTAGATTCGCCTAAAAATATGCAACGTCTCTATAAAGACATACGGCCACTACTTTTAGACATTCATTTAGCAGTTATTATATTTTTGAAAGACAGAATATAGGCATTCGTAAACTATATAATGGCTCATTTCCCTCGTGTTTTTGATTGCAGAATGGCACAAAATTACTATTTGCTTCCCTATAGACCCGCCAATTCCAATAAAACCAAATAATTTTAAATTTTCCTAACAGCGCATAAAAATATGTTGCCTCTGTGCCGGCCAGTTGCTACCATACACTCACTAACTCTACGCGTACTACACGTCCATTATATTCGTTATAAATTTACTTTTAGTAAATTTTTGACATTAACATTTTGAATGCCACAGAGGAAGAAATAGAGAAAAAGAAATAGCGCGAATAGCGCAAAAACGAAAAACGCGTTGAACTTATTTCGATATTCCCTGGTGCGCTTAAGCGCCAGAAAATATGCAATCAAACTTTATTGCAAGCAATAAAGTGCACGATAAAGGCTTTTGCTATAATAGTTTGTAGCCAACGCGTTGATGATACATTTTTTAGAGAGGATTTTTAGCAGTTAATAGAAAAAGTGTGATAAAGCAAAGCACAATAGTTCAAGTAAAAAAAAAATACGTAGCGATCTTTTTTAACGATATAACGCGTTTAAAGAAATAGAATGCGCGCATCAAGGTTGCTCAGTCATTTGAAAATTATTGCAAATAAAAAACTGTAAATAAAATAATCAAAGTTTTGTTTAATGACTTGCTAAAAAGTATAAAAATAACCAACTGAGCTGCTCTTTAAAAAATTATTAGTATTAAAAAATGTTGCCATTTGTTGTCATGACATATTTTATGCGCGCTTTGTTGGCAATAATTCAGCTTCAGCAGCATAGCTCAGCTGCGTGCTCGCATTTTACAACAGTTTTGGCTGTTATTTTGTGTGTTTATTTACTTTTTCGTTTTTTTTTTCATTTTTTGTTTGGGTTCGTTAGCCAAAAACGCCGGTAGAGCGCCATTTGGCTGCTGCTGTTGCACGCTAGGCAGCCCATATAGGAAGTCTTACTATGTAGTAGTAATACCGGTTTTGGTAATATTGGAAAAAATTATAACTATGGAAATAACGATTATAAGTATGGAAATAACGATTGTATTAAATTTTAATAAAAAGCCCGATTTTAAATATTTTCTGAAGAAGATTGACGATGCTGCTTTTAATCTCAAAAACCAGCTTAAGTTTCAAATGGCTTATGGCTTGGATTATCGTAATGTATTACATGGCTATGTCGATGTTTACTTAAATAAAAATATGGCGGGTAAATCGTCAGAGGCTTGGTAAGTATAGAGGTCAAAACAAACATAGCCAGGCTTATGTGACAAAAGTTTTGCAAGGCTGTGGGCCAGCTGGTGTTTTCTTAGCACGTCTGCCAGTTTTTGTTGGAAAAGAAAAGCCACACATACACTTTGGGAGCTGATTTTAAGGTTGACTCATCGTAAACCCTGCTAAGGCTGATTTCGTCTGGTTGTCTGGAATTTCCAGAATATGTTTGCAGCTCTAATTGAACGAACTTCCAACTGTCGCATAAGAAAGATTTAGTAATACAACATTTACCTTAGTTAAACCTATAACATACTATGGAGTGCTCCACCTGCTGGCCTGCCCTTAATGGAATGCACGGGGTAGTACTTCGGGCCTCTCCTACTCTAGGAGTGATCGTTACCGAGCTTATTGATATCAGTCCGGTCAGACTTAGAGAAACTAGGCGCTTGCTGACTCCGTGTTTACGCACTCAAGTATCTATAGAGCCTTCGACTTTATACTTGAGGAAACTGGTTTGAAACACCTCTTTCACAGAAGCTGGGACAGAGGAAAATTAAACTTTTTTTTTGTGGTCCAAGCTTGGTGGAAGTGTCGAAAAAGTAAAGAAGAGAGGACAAGTAAATTTCTACATTTTACGCCGACTGCGCGTAACTTGATGAAAGATCGGCAAAGTGTCTTCTGTCGTAAAATCTCAATCAAACAAAAATTTAGGTTTTCATCCAATCACATTCCCTCAATGGATGAGTGGATGGTAAGCTGTAGCTCGAAGTAAGCACCTACCAAGATATAAATTGATTTCTTGCTGAACTTCGGGAGGCCGAGAAAGGAGGTACACATCCTCATTTGTTACTCAAATAGTCCAACCCAAGGCCACAGTGATATGACATGAGAACACATCAAGGCGAATGAGTCGACTCAAAAAGGTATCCTCCTGTGAATGAGCGATTTTATACTTAGCTTCACTCATATCCACGACGTAGTGCGCTACGAAGAAGCGCATCATTTGTATGGTGACCCAAATCAATATCAGACTTAATGGGTTTCAACTCGGGGACCATCGAATCTACCGGTCAACCTAATTCGGGGTGTGTTGCGTATCCACGCCAGTTGGATGGTTTGCAGTAAGGGGTTTCCAGCTGGATACTTGTTTACCTCCGAGAGTGACGGTGGACCTACCACAGCATGGTTCCAACTTTTACCTTTTCTATCCGGTCTGAGCAAAGTTATGGCTGTGCGACAAAGTATACAGAGAACCAGTAAGCTGTGAGCCCTGATAGAACTGATTACAGAGCATAATCAATGGAGAATACAGATGGTCGCTACAGGTACCATGGCCGTCTCAATTGGTACATATTCTACATACATACATATCCTCGATAAGCTACTAAAATTGCTAAAATAGTCATAAGCTCAACCATCGAGTCAATCGTCAACATTCAGGGCAGCCGCGAGCAAACTCCAGCGGCTCCTAGTCGCGAAGGCGTAAACAGGTAAAACTGCTATCGATCACAAACCCTACGCGGGTATTTAGTCGGTTGATAGTACTATTCTTTCACATTCCGATAGTTCAGGACCTAAATAAGAAGTCCGCCTCGCAGTCAGACTTAAGCAGATTCTCAGAGATGCTCAGCTGAAGAAAATGGATAACGATCCTGTGGCTCATAATTTGAAGGTTGTGGTTGAGAGGGGAAGAGGCATTGTCTCTGAGAGTTGCCACGCTTAACCCACTCCTTCAACTTGCAAAGAGGTGGCCTACAAAACGAAGCGGTCGATAGATAATTCCAACGGCGAAGCTAATAGACCAGAAACCTCCAACTGGATGAAGGAGGTAGTAGTCTAGTTATTCGACTTGGAGTCGTAACAGGTCACTGCCTGATTGAGAGCACAAAACAATAGAATGGGTCTACAGTCGAAAGAATTATGTCGTAGCTGCCACGAATCAGAGAAAATCGAAATTGTAGAGCACTATCTAAGTCACGGATCCGCATTGGTTTGGGACCGTGGACATTTCCTTCATCGTTCCAGAGAAATAAGAAGAGTCTAATCTCATGAAAGCTTTCCGCAGATTTTTCGGATATCATTAACTGCATATCGTTACGTAAATTTCAAGTTGATCTCATAGATTTAAGAACTATATTATTCGCAAGTCTTTGGGATATTTCATTTTTGTTGGAAGGTCGTGAACTAGCACTTTTCCGAACTTGAAAAGCTTTCAACATAACCCCAAAGTAAACTCGAAGTAAAAAGTTTATTGCGATGAAATTGTACTTTTTTTATGAGACAGTACGCTCTTATTTTCTGCCCTATCAGCAACCATTTGGCCGCTTGGCCTCTCGGACATCATCACTCTACTGGCAACTGCTGCCAGCTGCCATCGTTGCACCTAAAAATATGCTTTGTTTTATATTGCTCGACATAATTCGTTGGCGCAGTCATTCATTTACAGCACAAGCGGGTTTCTCCGCACCCCCCTCTCTCTCTCTCTCTCTCTCTGTTGCTAGCGCGCTGCAACATTTCCAAAAATTACTTAAAAATGCATATGCTTACTCGGTTCGTTTATATTCATGTTTGCTTGTACATATGTACGAGTATTTGTGATTGGCCCATAACCTTAACTTTGGTGCTGCATAATTTTTGCTGCAGCTGCTTACATCTGCTGCTCTCTACTCGCTGCCACATACACAATATATTACTTACAACTGGCATTCGCATTTCGGCAAGCCATGCTTGCATTTTTTATTGCCTTTGGCAACATTCTAGTAAGTGTATTAAAATTGCAATGGATTGAATGCAAAAAAAAAGAAAAGGAAAATCGCAAATCGAAAAAATTGCATACGAAATGAGTTAGAAAAACTGAGAAAAAAAACGCAAATGAAGATTGGAAAATGTTCGAGTAAAAGAAATATAGTAACCAATATTTTGTAGCAATTTTCTTTGGCATTTACCTGCAACTGCTGTTGCTGCTGGGGATTTTGTTGTTTCGTGCTATTCTTAGTTTCGTAATTTTCTATGCAGCTCCGCCAGCTGCCCTAAGCAGTCAGCACAAAGTTTGATATGAATTCGTTTCGCTGATTTTTCCAACAGCTGCTGGGGTGGATTTCTTTACTTTTGCTTGGCTTTCTATTTCAATCGCTGGTAGTTACGAGTATTCTTCGCCTTGATTCTGTAATGAATTCAGAGAAAAAATGGAAATTAATGCATGGAAAATCGCTTAGAATGTTGTGATTAAATTCTCGTTGTTTAGTTTTGATTTCATGAAGAAAATTAATTCTGTTCGATGAGTAATTGAATTGAGTTGAATGCAAAGTAATTTGTGCAATTTGTGGGGGTAAAAATTTGCAATTAAAAAAAAAACAAAAAACATAAGATTGGAATGAAGGATGAAGAAAGGGATAGATTGAGTTCAGCTTTGTTTTCAGATTCTGCACAGTAATTTTATAAATTTCATGTCTTTACATGTGGAAATTATTTAATTTTAAAATTGGTAACAAATTCAAATATTATGGGAATAACGGATAATGGGTGTTTTATCAAACTTTTTCGCATTCATTAAAAAATATTTAATTAGGCTTGAAATGACCGTTGAGCATGAAACTTCTGCAGATATTCCGAAAAGCTTAGAATGAATATAAAAACGGCGCGAAAAATCTGGAAATCCTGAAAATATCCAGAAAAAAACTAGCTGATTAAAAAAAAAATGCGGGAAATAACTAATAGACTGAAAAGCTTTCGAAATTTCATATAAATAAAGTCCAAATTGAAACACGGAAACTTACAAACAGTTCCGAAAATGTCCTGAAAAATCCAAAAAGTTTTTAAAGCTCCCTAAAAGTCCCCGGAAATTCCAAAAGTTACAGAAAAGTGCCAATATGAGCATAACTTTCGAAAAAAATTTCAAGAAAAATCTCGAAAGGTCATGCAAAAGTCATAGGAAACATTACAAAGGGTTGTAAGGAAGCCTTAAAAATCGTGAAAAATAAGTTCCCGGATTCCCCTTTTAGCCCTTACTACAGTCGAATATCTTTAGAAATACCGAAAGGCTCCCCAAAAACCACTAAATCTTAAAAAATCCGAATGATTTCGAAAAGTTTCCTGTATGTGTTTCAAAAATCTCGAAATATTCGGCTGAGATATGGAAAACTCCACAAAAGTTTCGAAACAACTCCAATGAGTTTTGAAGCTTGCTGTTAAGTTGCTCAAAATTCTGGAAGGTCGCGAAAACCACCGAGTTAAAGTAACGAAAACTCCTAACATCTTTGGAAAATTTCTAAAAGCTCCCAGAAAGTCCCAATAAAATTCCTAAGGACTCATAAAATCTTGACAGGTTCTAAAAATTCTTTAAAACCTCAGAAAAGAAAACATATACACGGGAAGTTTCGAAAAATATCCTAAAGCCGTGAAAGCTGGGAAAATCTCGGAAACTAAATAAACACGAAAATTAAAAAAAAAGTCTGAAGAGGGTTTCTGAAATATCTCCAAAAATATTTTGGAAAGTTGCAAAAATTATATGGAATTCCGAAAATGCCGGGAAAAACTTGAGGGGGGGGGGGGGGTTCCGAAGATATTCCGAAATATCCGGAAAAAGGCTTTAAAAGTTTCAAAGGTTTCTAAAAAGTCGAAAATATTCCGAAATAATCGCATGTAAAATATGAAAAAAAAACTCCGAAAATGTGTCGGAACGGCAAAATCTGGAAAAGTCCTTGCAAAAGGCCCTGAGGTACCAGAATAGTTCTCTTATATTCAGTAATCACTTTCATCTCGTTTAATTCACAACGCCTTAAAATATGTGCCATATTAAGACAGCTAAACCAAAAATTTCAAAAAGTTCCGCTTCTAACACAAACTTCGTAGCCTCAATAGAATATGTGTCCAAGTAAAAGTATGAAGGTATGTTAGTAACTAAGCTGAAATTGTCAGCTGTCAAGTGTTTGTAACGTAGCGATAAACCGTGGAACTTAACTTTAGCTGTGTGTACGCCTAAAAGTATACAAATAACAATGCATTTAATATTAAAATAGACAGTTTTAATCCGCTGCGGCTCAACGGCGCAAACATTGTAACGCAAATGAATGAAATACAAAAAAATATGTAAAAGTGTCACAAAACAAGTAAAAGTTTAAGTGAAAAGTACCAACAAAACTTTTGTGTGTATGTGTGGTATGTGTTTGCTATACATGCATACATATATTCACATAGAAAGTTGCTGTCAACGTGCTACTTTGCGTCTTGTACGAGCTGGCTTAATCTCTAATAATCCATGTGGTTGTAAGTAGGCAAGTGGTGTAGTTAAGCGTGTGAGAATATGCTATGTACATTAGGCCGGCTCACCAAAAAAAAGTTGCGGATTTCCCATCAGAATTATAAAACCCATTGCATGTTAAAACTTCCACCTAAAGATTTCGGAAAAATATAAAAATTTACGCTAGCTGGACCGTATTGAAAATACCCGCAAAAATTTTATGACATATTTTGATTCTTTTTAAGCTTTAACTCTACCGTCATGAGAGGGGTTTTTTTGGAAAATATATTTTTAAAAACTAATTTTATTTATAAAAAACTCGATTTATGGAAGTACTTTCATTTCGGCCCAGCTCACGTAAAACTTAATATTTTTCCAAAATATTTTGGCGGAAGTTTCACAATATAATAAATTTTATAATTTCGATGGAAAAACAGTACCACCCCAGTTTCTTGCATGGGGGTGATGCACCCTAGTAACTACAAGTAAACAGTTATAAATGTGTGCGTGAGTGCTCATTATGAAGTTGGGTATATGAATATTTATTCATAAGTGTTATGCTGAGATATAACTGTTGTTTATCTAGGTGGATTTGCTATTAAAAGAATTGTGGTAATTGAACTTTCGGATGTACACTAAAGTGGTCCATTTTGTGTATAGGGAAACAAATTTCCTACAAAATGGGGCAGCCCCTTAGTTTATTCCTTTTAATATTTGTAATATCTATACCAACTTTCAGTTTTCTACTGCAACTAATACAGGGTGCTCAATGACCTTGAAATGCGCTACGGGATCGCTGCAAAACTGGCAAAAATATTGGTGATTTTTATAAAAACGTACTGTTGCCATGACAACTGAATATATAAAATTAATGAGGAAATCCTTTAGAATTTAAACATATTCAAGTTTCTAGTGCAAAAGGGCCGGTAAATATTGAAAATGCCATTTTAAAATTTTATCCTTAAAATTTCGCAATATTTATTCGACTTTCGTTCTTTTAACTTTGTCAGCTTAAAAATTACCTATTCGTCCTGGTGAATCCAAAAAATTAAAATTTTTTAAATTCTAAAGAAATTTCCTATTGCATTTGTTACCCATATTTTTATTCTACATTGCATTGAATCTTTTAATATTTTTTGGAATTAATCATATCTTTGAAATTACAAAGTCCTTCAAAATAAATCCTGCGGTCAGAGAGAAAAAATAAAAACGCCTTTTTTGAGAGTTTTGCTTCACATCGAAATTCGTGCTGCTTTATTTTCATTTTGACGCAGTTCAAGGTTGATTCTTTTACTTTTATTTGGCTTTGCTTTTTGTTTTCGCTCAATTTAATTTTTGTAATTTTTCAAAAGAAAAGAAAAAACGTTTGAAGCCATACAAATTTTGAATTTATTTACAAGCAAATGTTTTTTTCCGGCTTTTGCAAATTGAATATTGTAAGATGGTTTGTTAAAAAAATACGTGAACATATAAATATGGTATATGGGGTATGGAAAAAGTATGGGGAATAATAACTGGCTTTGTTTTTTAATTTTGTTTGCAAAATGTCTTTCGCATTTTATCCTACAAGAAATTTACTTTTATATGGTAAAATGTGCAAAACCCCGTCAGCAAAACCAATTCGTTAAAAATCAAGGCGATTTTTTGCGGCTTTTTCTAAAAATTCAGATAAGAAAGTTCAAAATTAAGATAAAAATGTGTTGAATTTTTCAAAGTTTTGTACAAATTTATGGTTTGTAGCGGATATGTATGTGAATCTGGTTCTTTCGAGTTTAAAAAATATTTCAGGCTACATTTTATTTCGTGTAGTAGTGAGAAATTAAAACATCGATGTATCGTTTTTATAACCGATGTTTCTTAACATCGATGTTTGTTGTATCCCTACCGTCTACCCAGCTAATATGGAAGCGAGATGCATTCAAGACAAAGAGATACATATATTTTTATCTGTTCTAAACCACTGAATAGAACTAACGGTGCCACCAATTCAAAAAAGATCAGGAAATTAGAAGTGGAAGATGGAGATTGAAATACATACATACATCGTTTGTCAAGACACACCTGCCTGCATTTTAGATACCATTTCTATAGCAGTGGTTCCAAACTGTTTTAAGCTCTAAAAGAAACTCTTTTAGAAAAATTTTCGGGAATGTCGGTTACGGCCTTATTAAAATCTTAGATGGCAGCAAAATAGGTTGCAAATTTCAGTGTAAAATTTTGAGCACGTTAGAGTGTCGCAGCTTAAGCTACTACTAAATAATTAAACTCTTATCCTTAAAAACTTGCTTTACAAATTAAGCGCACAAGTACGTTGCTCTGCCTGCCGCCCACTGCCCCGCTAAAATTAGCATAGTTAGCGCTGCCTAACCCCAAATCATAATAATAGCCGAGCATACTATTTATACACCTATGCCGGCATTCATTGTTACCGGAGAGTTGTGTACCGCTTAAAAGTTGCTATTTTTGTTTATGCGCACTTATGCAGGCATTGTTGTAGATGTCGTTCAGTGCACTAAGAATATGCACATACATATGGACATACCTACATATATGAGTTTACTTAGGGGGCATAAATAGTATTTAGGTTAAAAATATGCGGATGTGGTATACTCAGCTCGTTAAGGCCATATTTACTGTATCACAAATTGGTCTACATATTTATTTTCACAAAATGACTTCGGTACAAGCCTACAGTGGCTCAAACTGACTGAACATATTTACGTACAATTGCATATACTGTCATACTATTATACAGGTATGCTGTTATACGGTTAGAGAGTTATATATTTATACCGCTATACTTAATACAGCTATTCAGTTACATTGTGTTATACTGTTATAACTTCATACTATTATACCATTACGCTATGACACTAGTATGCAGTTACTTGAAATACTGTTATTCAGTTAAACTGCTATACCGT